TATTATTATTTATTATTAATACAAAAATCAGTAACTCCCCAGGAATTGAGGGCATACCCATTGAAATATTCCAGCAAACAAATGCAGTCCTGAATGTGATCACCAGTTGTGGCAAGAAATCTGAAAGACAGCTACCTGGGCAACTGGCTGGAACAAAACTATATTTATTATCATTCAAAAAAAAGTGATCCTACAGAGTGTAGAACTTATCAAACAATATCACTAATATCACACCCAAGCAAAATCTTGCTGAAGATTATCCAAAAATGACTGGAACAGTACATCAAAATAGACTTGTTGGATATATAAGCTGGATTTAGAAGAGGCCATGGCACTAGGGATATCATTGCTGATGTCAGATGGCTGAAAGCAGAGAGTATCAGCAGAATGCCTATTTATGTTATAGACTATGCAAAGGCATTTGACGGTGTGGATTACAATAAAGTGTGCCTAATATTGAGAAGAATGGGAATCCCAGAACACCTGATTATGTTCATTTGAAACCTATACTTAACCAGGAAGCTGTTTTCTAAACAGAGTAAGGGAACGCTGCATGGTTCAAAATAAAAAAACAAGTGCTTCAGGATTGTATCCTTTCTCCATACCTTTTCAGTCTATATTGAGAACAGATGACTCAGGAGGTTGGACTTTATGAAGAGGAATGTGTCATTAGGATTGGAGGAAGAAGACTCCTCAACAGCTTGCATTATGCAAATGACACAACTCTGCTTACTGAAACTGAGGTGGACTTGAGGCATTTACTGCTAAAGGTCAAAGATGACAGCCTTCCACATGGACTGTATCTTAATATCAAGAAAACAAAGATCCTCAACACTTGGCCAATAGGCAGTATAATGATAGAAGTGGAAAAGACTGATGTTGTTGATTATTTCATTTGCTTGGATCCATAATCAACATTCTTGGCATTAGCAGTCAGGAAATCAAAAGATGAGTAGCATTGGAAAAATCTGCTGTCAATAATCTCTCTAGATTGCTAAAAAACAACAATGTCAAAAGGAAACTCTGGTGGCCTAGAGGCAAGAAGCTCCTCTGCAATCCAGAAGGCAACCAGTTTGAATCCACCAGACATGCTCTGCTGGAGAAGGAGGGGCAATCACCTCCTGTGCCAGTTGGATCTGATTCAACAGTACACAACAACAAAAAAAAATGTCAGTCTAGAGACTAAGGTGTGCTTTATCCAGGCCGTGGTCTCCTCAATTGCTTTCTATGCATCTGAGAGCTGGACAATGACAATGGATGATGAAGAATACGTGTCTTTGAGTTGTGGTACTCATGAAAAGTATTGAACATACCATGGATTGCCAAGAAAATAAGCATGCCTGTCCTAGAGATGGCAAAACATTTTTGTTCATTGGAGGCAAGAATACTGAACCTCTGTCTCACATATTTTGCATGTGTCATCAGTAGGGAGACTTCCTTGGAAAAGGACATCATGCTTGGAAGGGTAGAAGGTCAGAGCAGAAGAGTAACCTTGGATATAATGGATTGACACAGTGACAATGGAGTCAAATGTGTCAGGGAAGATGAAGATGGCTCAGGATAGGGCCAAGGTTCAGAACCATTGTTCATAGGGTTGCTATAGGTTGTGGTTGACTAGAAGGCACATAGCAGTAACAAAACAATCAGTTCTTGTTACAATATTTTTACTCATATATTACTAAGAGAAATATATGCAGGCACTGGAATAGGAACACTACAAGGATTTCATTTAATCATTGCACATAAAACTTTTATGTGTTTCTCAGTTCCTTTAGGAAAAGTGATGTAAATAAATTGACTATGAATATGCACATTTCGGGGAACTTTTAATGTGGTATTGTTGTTGTTAGGTTTTGTCAAGCTACCTAGTACTCAAAGGACTCTATGAACAACAGGTGAAAAATGTGTCCTATTTTGAGCTACCCTCAACATTTAAGCCATGTTTAAGTCCATATTTGCAGTCACTGTGTCAATTTATCTTATTTAAGGTCTTACTCTTTTTTACTACTTTCCCCAGTATAATGTTTTTCCCCCAGATGCTCTGGTGATATAACCCGTAGAAAGTTGTGCTGCTAATTCAAAAGCCAAGAATCTCTAGTGGTTCAAATACACCAATGATTTCTCACAAAAAAAAAGATGGTTTCCTCCCTGGAAACCAGTGGAAGGTGAATAATGGGTCAATTCTAACTTGAAGGCAATGAATGGGTCTACAGTGTAGGAAAACAATTTCACAGTAAAAACAATGAACACAACTCTTTCTACATTTAACATGGGAGTGATGTAATAGTTTCAATTTTTATACAGGGACCTCTGGTGGCAAAGTCCATCACAAGTGGCACTGCCTATGCAGAGTTTGCTTGTCTCAGAGGTTCAAATCTGAGGTAGAAAGACAGGTAATTTCCTCTCATTAACTATTCACTGTCTTAGAAGCTCAGTGGAGAGTTACTATCAGCCAGAACTCAATTGCAGTGAGTTTTTAATATATATATTCATTTAGGAATATATTCAAGTTGGAATAATCTTTTTTTTTTAGAGTCAACAACTTTCCTAAGATAGAAATGAGAAGCTAGTCTACAATTTCCAGAGGCAATATATCACACAGAAGTCAAACTCTAAAACTAAGATCTCCTGACTACTGGATACACCACTTCTTCAAAACATGCTTACCTCTAACAATGCCTGCTCAGTATTGACATCTTTTCAGTTAACCGGTATCCCAGGCCTGGAATCCCTGCATATTTGGCTTTCTATTCCTTTTGGCTCCATGTACGTGATGGCTATAATGGGGAATGTGACCATTCTAGCAATAGTAAGGGTAGAGCGCAGCCTGCATCAGCCCATGTACTTTTTTCTGTGCATGTTAGCCATCATTGACTTGGTCCTGTCAACTTCTACCATGCCCAAGCTGCTCGCTGTCTTCTGGTTTGGAGCCTGTAACATTGGCCTGGATGCCTGCTTGACTCAGATGTTCTTCATCCACTGCTTTGCCACTGTTGAGTCAGGCATATTCCTTGCTATGGCTTTTGATCGCTATGTGGCCATCTGTGATCCACTACGTCACACCACAGTGCTCACCCACGAAGTTGTAGGTTATTTGGGGCTGGCTGCCCTCCTCCGGGGGATACTCTACATTGGACCACTTCCCTTGATGATCCGTCTGAGGCTACCCCTTTATCGGACCCAAATAATTGCCCATTCCTATTGTGAGCACATGGCTGTGGTCACCTTGGCTTGTGGTGACACAACAATCAACAACTTATATGGAATGGGAATTGGCTTCCTGGTATTGATTCTAGATTCATTGGCCATTGCTGCCTCCTATGTAATGATTTTCAGGGCTGTTATGGGTCTGGCAACCCCTGAAGCTAGGCTTAAAACTCTGGGGACATGCGGTTCTCATATTTGTGCCATTCTTGTGTTCTATATCCCCATTGCTGTCTCTTCTCTCACGCACCGTTTTGGTCATCATGTGCCTCCTCACATCCATATCCTTTTGGCAAATTTTTATTTCCTCATTCCACCTATCCTCAATCCAGTTGTATACGCTGTCCGCACGAAACAGATCAGAGAAAGACTTCTCCACATTCTAAAGGCAGGTACTCAACCCAGGTGACTGCTCTGCACTTACAGGACAAATAGATGTTTAGTGATGTCAGGGAAAGGCTCTGACTTGGGAAGTTCACACAATCCTTGAGTCTTCCCTCACCTATATGGATAAGAGTCTCAGAGAAAAGATAGAATCTACTGTATTTGATCAAGAGATTGCAATATGCAGTGTAGATGCACTATCTGAAAGTGAAGACAGTAATTTCTGAGCATGGTTTTTGTACTTTGCCTACATATATAACTTCACAAAGCTTAGAACAATAATCATAAGTATACAGACCACAAGAAGTAAGAATATTTATAGCCTTAACCTATTGGCTTGAGATTGTTTCCTGTCTCATTGAAAGTGTTACAAAGCACAATACCTGCAAGTTAAAAATACAACTTATATTCCAACACCTTCTTGAAGACAGTCTACAATTCTGTTAGCAAAACAAAATAAAACAAACAAACAAAAAATGCCTCACACCATCAAGTCAGAAGCAACCAACAGCTGACTCTCCACTGGGTTTTCAGAGACCAGGGAAAAGGTTGCCCATCTTTCTCCTGTGAACCAGGGTGGTGGTTTGAACTGCCTGCTTTTGAGTTGGCAGTGCAATTCCTTACCCACTACACCATCAGAGCTCATTCTGGAAAGTTTCAACTATGGTAACAAGTTTTTTTCAATCCTCTTGACTTGCTCCAGAAAAGAACAGAGATAATATGTGAGAAATATACTTTCCCACGTACTTAATGCCTTCAAACCAAGTTATTTTTAATTTAAAAAGGAAGGAGGAAACAGAGAAGAATATTGGAAGATTTCTTTTCAGAAGTTAGGAATGGCATATAATGAAAACTGCAGCCACAATAAAACAATTAAATGCAAAGATGAAAAGTAAAACCATGATTATTGATGTTAAGAAGTATGAGTAAAAGATTAGTCTAAAAGGGATAAAGGTGGCTCATTTTTAGAATTTTTGCCTGCCAGTCAGGATTACGCATTTGATTCCTGACCAGTGTGCCTTACACGCTCAGCAACTACCCATCTGTAAGTGAAAACTTGCATGTTGCTTTGGTGCTAGACAGGTTTGAGCAGAGCTTCCGCAAATTAGGAAGAAGAGTCTACTCCAAAACTCAACTAATAAGAATTCTATGGATCACAATGTCTGATCCACATGTGATCACAGCACAGCTACAGAATTGAGCAGTGATTCATTCCATTGTGCATGTGGTCACCATGAGTCGACATCAGCTAAAAACTGTTTATTATATGCTATCAGCATTTCCAGGTTTTGTAAGCGTCCAACCTGCCCCATCTTTTCACAGAAGAAACAAGCAAGGAGGTGTGACCACAAAAGAGCTAAAGGTAAAATGCTATTACCCTACGGGATTTCTATTACAAACAGAGAAAAGAAATGGTGAAAGAGATAAAGTAGGGCTTCAGGTTCTGGCCACACCCTTCCCTCCAGAACAGCTCCCAGACTTTCACATCTCTGCTGAAATGGGCTTAGTAATTAACTTCAAGGCTAAATAAAATTTGCTGTTGTTGTTGTTGTTGTTGTGTGTCATCTAGTCAAATAAGCTTCATAGGGACTCTGTGAACAACAGGTCACAATCTTGCCATATCCTGGTCCATCTTTATGATCTCCATCTGCAAAAGCCCATTTTCACAGTCACTATATCAATCCACTAAATGAAGGTCATCTTCTCTTTCACTGACCCTGAGTCTTTCACAACTTGATATCTTTTTCAAAGGACTGATCTCTCTTGACAACATACACAAAGAATGTTCAGTGAACTTTCACCTTCCTGGCCTCAAAGGAGCACTTTGCTTGCTCTTTCTCTAAGATTTGTTTGCTCTAGTGGCAGCCCACGGTGTATTAAATACTTCTCTCCAACACTACAATTTTAAAGCATCGATTCATCTTTGGTCTTCTTATCCATTGTTCAACTTTCAGATGGATAGAAAGCAAATAAAAAGATCATTACTTGAATCAAGAACACCTAAGTGTTTAAACTGGCATCTTTTCTCTTAAGAGATCCTTGGCAAAAGATTTCCCATGCAATATGTGTTTTAATTTTTTTTAATTGTGATTTTAGTGAAAGTTTACAGAAAGAATGGGCTTTCATTCATTCATTGATACACCTTTTTCTCCCAACTCCTGCCCAGTTAACTTTGTAATGCATATCTTGTTCCAAATTGTTTATTTCCATGTTTATAATGTCTAATCATTCATTCATTTCAGATGGTCCTTCCCTTCACTTAGGCCAGTGCAGTGTTCTTTAGCTATCCATTCTTTTCCGGCTATTCCCCCACCGTTGCATTTCTTGAATGCTGCTGCCATGGATGTTGAATGTGGATCTAAGTAAAACTGAAACCTTGGCAACTTCAACCTTTTCTACACATATAAAAATATTGTTTATTGGTCCAGTGGTGAGGACTTTTCTTTTCTTGATGTTAAGATGTAACCCATATGGAAAGCTGTAGTCTTTCACCTTCTACAGCAAAGTGCTTCATGTTCTCTTCACTTTCTACAAGCAAGATTGTACCATCTGTTGTTATGTGCCATTGAGTCGCCTATGACTCATAGTGACCCTATGTATGTATATTAGTGCTGAAACTCATCTATCCTGAGCCAATCTCATCATCTCAGAATGACCTAATCACAATCCTGAGTCAATCCATCACATCCTGGAGCTTCCTCCTCTGTGCTATCCCTCTACCTTTCCAATCATGATGTCCCTTTCCAAGGACTGGTCACTCCTGGCCATGTGCTCAAAGTATGGGGAACTAGAGCCTCAAAATCCTTGCCTCTAGCGAGCAGCTGTGTTTTACCCTCTCCAGATAGACCTGTTTGTTCTCCTGGCAGTCCAAAATATGTTCAACACTCTTCTCCAGAACCGCAACTCAGAGGTATCAATCTTTCGTCTATCATCCTTATTTACTCTCCAGCTCTCTGATACACAGCAAGTAATTGCAAAGACCATGGCCTGGATTAGGAGCACCTTAGTCTCTAGATTGACATCATTGCTTTTCAGTACTCTAGAGAGGTCCCTGGCAGCAAACTTTTCCAATATAATTTGTCTTTTGATTTCCTAACTGCTGGTGCCAAGAGTTTTGATTGTAGAACCAAGCAAGCTGAAGTTATCAACCATTTCAATGTCTTCTCCATATATCATGAACTTACCACTTGGCCCAATGGTAAGAATCTTTGTTTTCTTGATGCTGAATCCATACAGTCCTTGACAATCTGCAGCAAATATCTCATGTACTTTTCCGTTTCAGCAAACAAAGTTGCCGATGAATCTTACTCCAATCCTGATGCCACACTCTTCTTCATAAAGTCCAGCCTCCTGAATGATCTGTTCTGCATATATATTGAAAAGGTATAGAGACAGGATGCACCCTGAAACATACCTTTTCTAATTTTATTTTTTTTTTAGTTTATAAGGTTTTAATTTTTTTTACTAGTTTATTTATAAAATTATTTTTTTTTATTTCCATTCATTCATTGTTGCACTTTTCTCCCTGCCCACCCTTCTCCTCCCGCTCCCCAGTACTCTCTTCTCTTTGAAAAGTAAAAGAAAAATTCTTTCATTGTTTTACAATCCCTCCTCTCAGGTCCACTCCACTATGCAGCCTTCATTCTGGACTCCTGTCATGACAGTAATACTTAATCATATACCCCTTTTAAACAGTTTTCTCCCTCATCTGTTTCAATGCAGTATACATTGTTTATCCCATCTTTCTCAGTCTCACACCAACCCCGATGTAGTGACACTATGTATTATTTGTCCTTTTGTGACTAGTATTTACCAAATTCTAATACAAATTAGAACAAATTTTTTCAATTTCCCTCACCCGCCTCCACCCATCAAATTGTACAATCCAATGATTAATCGCTTTCCCCCCCTATACATCCACATCCCTCTGCTTCCATGTTTCCCTACTCTGTTCTGACTGCTGCTTCCTGGTCCAAGTATAGGTTTTACATAAGCACAATTAAGTGCACTGGGATTCCCATTCTTCCGAAGGTTAGCCACAATTTGTTGTGATCCACACAGTCAAAATCCTTCGCATAGTCAATGAAACACTGATAGACACTCCGCTGGTACTCACTGCTTTCAGCCAAGATCCCTCTAACTTAGGCTCTGATGCCCCTAGTGACACAGCCTCTTCTAAACTAAGCCTGCACATCTGTCAGTTCTCTACTGTTCTAGTAATTTCTGGATAATCTTCAACAGGATTTTGCTTGCATGTGATATTAGTGATATTGTTCAATAATTTCCACACTGTATTGGGTCACCTTTTGGGGGGAAATGGGAATAAATTTAGATCTCTTCCAGTCAGTTGGCCAGGTAGTTGTCCTTCAGATTTCTTGACATAAACTAATGAGTGTGTCCAGTGCAGCATCTGTTTGCTGAAATATGTCAATTGGTATTCCATCAATTCTAGGGGCCTTGGCTTTTACTAATACCTTCAGAGAAGCTTGAACTCATTCTTCATCACCATAGGCTCTTGATCATATGGTGCTTCATGAAATTCTGTGTCAGCCAACCCTTTTCCATCTTCTTTTGATGCTTCCTGGGTCATTCAACATTCTGCTCTCAGCATCCTTAAGTATTGCAACTCAAGGCTTAAACTTGTTCTTCAGTTCCTTCAGCTTTTTGAAAGTATTCCTTTGAGTTTATTATGTTTGTTTTGTTTGTGTATAAAGGATGCTCATCGAGATGATAACATAGTTATGATAAAAACAAAATGGGGAAATATGGGAAGCCAATACCAAATAATTATAATAAACTGAATGCTATTTTTTAAAAAATAAATAAATAGGGGTCTGGAGATGTAGCTCACCGGTGGAGCACGGTGGCTCACGTGCCGGGGCTTTCTGGTTCATGGTTCATTACCACTACCAAGGGAAAGTCGGTAAGAGCGGAGCAGATCCGACATCGCCAGGCCATCCTCTTAAAAATAAATAAAGAGATAGATAGATAGATAGATAGACAGACAAACAAACCTACCTTAAAAAATGCCAGGTGATAAAGGTACATTCCAAAGAGAACCAGGAGAAGGAGGTAATTGTGTAACAGTGAATGATTTTTTAAGAAAAATTAAGTTGGGGAAGCAGAGAGAGAGGGAGTAAAATGTGTAATAATGAATGAATGAGTGAATGAAAGTCTAACTTTTCTGTAAACTTCCATTAAAATAAAAATAAAAATAAAAATTTTATTAAAAAAGACATATTGAGCAAGTACAAAATTTTTATATTCTGATTCTAGCTCTTTGCACATTTCATAATTATACTTTGCTTTCTCTTCCCACGTTACCTTTGATATCTTCTATTCGGTGCCTTCAATTCTTCATCTCTTTACTTGGCTTTGGATTCTCAGCATTGTAGTTCAATATTCAGTCTCTTCTGACATCCATCTTACTTTTTTCTTTCTCCTCTGTCTTTGCAGTGACTTTTTGAATTCTTCATGAGTGATATCCTTTAAAGCCTCCCATAGGGCATATGCCTCCTCTTATTAATGCTCAAGGCTTCAAACCTGTTCCTGAGACGGTCTTTAAATTCTGGTGGGATAGGCTCAAGGTTCTTGTGGATTGGATTTTATTTTCTTAACTACAATTTGAACTTGCATATGAGTAGCTGATGCCTGTTCCACAATTAGTGACTGGCCTAGTTTTCACAACTGATATTGAGCTTCTCCAGTGATTTTTTCCCCCCACAGATGTAGTCAGTTTGATTCCTATGTAGACCATCATGTTTTTTATAAAAGGTATTTGTGATGTTATTGGTTGTAAAGAATTCTATCATTCTGTTTCCAGTTTTGTTTCTGTCACCAAGTCCATCCTTTCTGACTACTGATTCTTCTTCCCTGTTCCTAACTTTTGCATTCCAATCACCCACTATTATTGAAGTGTCTTGGTTGCATGTTCGATAGATTTCCAACTCCAAAAGTTGATAGAAGTCATCAATTTCTTCCTTTTTGGCCCTGGTTGTTGCATTTATTTGGATGATAGTGGTATTAACATGTGTTACTTGTATGCTTATGGATAGTATCCTATCACAGCATTGTATTTCAAGATGGATCTAAAAATGGTCTTTTTAACTGTAAAAGTGACTTCATTCTTTTTTCACCTTTTCATCTCCAGCATAGTAGATCATATGATTATCTGATTCAAAATGTTCCATGTAAACTCATTTCATTTCACCAATGTCTAGTAATGTCAATATATATGTGTTCCATTTCTTCCTTGACAATCTCCAACTTTTCTACATTCATATTTCTCACATTCCATATTCCAATCAGTAGTATCTGTTTGCAACTGTTACTCCTCCTTCACGAGTCCCAGTGAGAAGGTTCTGCTCTGGTTCAATATTTGCTAGTCTAGCCTAAATGTACTCTATTGTACATAGGTCTTTCTGAAGCCCGTTATTTCAGAAGTGGATGGCCAATCTTTCTCCCTAGTCTATCTTAATTTGGTTACTTGACTCTAAAGAAATGTTTGAGAGACAAGAATTTTGCTCCAAAGAGCAGATGAAAGACTTTTTTCATTATTCAGGTAACAGATCAGGTTTTGGTCCCAATCGCCACCCCCTTAGGCTCCGGTGTCTTGTTCCCACTCCTACCCCTGCTCTGCTAGCAACCAGCTCAATTCTGTTTTTTTTTACTCCTCCAATAACTCCCATCCCCTGCCCCTAGCTAGTCCTGGTTTGATGCCCCAGGTCTCCACCCACCTATATCCACCAACTACCTCTCTACTCTCCTGTGATGTTGGTGTTCCTGCACAGTGCAGGTGAGACATCCTCCTTCTGATGGCTTCTCTCCTGAAGTCATTTGTCCTCCTTTGTCTCAGCAGTGGACATCATCATAATGCAAATTATTGATGAATCTTCATCAAATCCTGATGCCATGTTCTTTTTCAAAGAGTCTAGCTTCTCAAATAGTTTGCTCATCATATAGATTGGAAAAGAATGGAGAAAGGAAATAGTTCTGTTGCACATCTTTTCTGATCTTAAGCTATTCAGTGTTTGACAACTGCTTCTTGATCTATGTTTAACTGTTGCATGAGAACAATTAAATGTTCTGGAATTTCCCTTTATGTAAAGTATAAAGAATAATAATGTAGCTGTACACATAGAACTATATGTAGGCTTGTAATTTATAAAAAGCATCTGTGAAAACAAACATCACAAGATAAAAGCGCAGTTGGTATTTGTGGAAGATGGTGTGTGAGAGTCTGTGAGAAAAGCAAAGGAACGCTTGTCAGTATTAACAAAAATAATTCTCTAATCTCTGATTTTGCATGAGAAAGAGAAAAAGAAGCACATGTAGTTATTCCTACCTCTTATTTGGTTTTTCCATCCTACTATTTCTATTACTATGCTGGGTCTCTAGGTGGAGAGCGCAAACATCATAATATACTGTAATTATCATTTCCTTCTGTATCTCAGAATAGAAACATTTGTTTCCCTGCATTAATGATCTGTATATTTTCTGAACTGAGCATAGACTTGGCACATTGTTAGTATGCAATAAAAATTTGTGATTGGATGTTGTTGTTGTTGTTGTTGTTGTGTGCAGTCGAGTCTCTTGTGACTCATAGCGACCATATGTACAACAGTCCTAAACTCTGCTCTGTCCTGTGCCAATCATGCTGTCTCACATATATCCATCCCGATTACCCCAGTCACTGAATCAATCAATCCACCTCATAGAGGGCCTTCCCCTCCTGTGCTGTCCCTTCACCCTCCCAAGCATGATGTCCCTATCCAAGGTCTGGTCCCTCCTTACAACATGTCTAAAGTATGTCAAACGAAACCTCAGAATCCTTGCCTCCAAGGAGTAACCTGGTTTAACCCTTTCCAGGATGAATGAGCAAAATAGAAATTTATGTTCTTGTCAAAGATATAAAATACACATATGTGCAAAAAATGAAGTTATATGATGTATAATAATATGCTTAGAATATATTTTATTCAAAGTATTTAATGAAAAGGATTTGATACAAAGCTGAATAAGCAAAAGAATTTAAAGAAATACAGAACAAGGTCAAGTCAAGAAATACCTTTTTAACAAACAGAATTTCCTAACTTAGAAGCTATAGTACTAGAAAGACATAAGTTTCCTAATTTCAGACTGTTTAGGCTAAAATTTAACATTACCTGTCAAAGTAACTAAGAAATTCCTGCATTTGGACGTAACATTGGCCCTATTTAAGGACTGTGTGAATAGTTTCATCAAATTCCTGTTTGGAATAGAAGCTCAGATTCTCAGATTTCTCATTTAAAAAAAAAAAAACAAACAAGCTTGTAGATATCACTGTGTCTTCACAAAAGATCGTAAGTGGGTCAAGAATAAAATATAATAATATATTGAAGGACACTTGCCCAAGGGCGGCCACATCAGGTTCTCGTGACTGACAGGACTGACAGACCCCAGCTCCCAGCTGGAAACAAAGGATCCTCCCAGAAGAGCCATGGGTGAGCATTAACTTTACTGGTAAGTATATTAATTTTCTCCTGGACACAAGAGCCTATTATTTGGTCCTAAAAACCTTCTGGGATCCCAACTCTTCTCACTATTTCTTAGTTGTTGGAACTGACGGAAAACCTCATAAGCAGTTCCTGACTTCACCTCTGCCTTGCATGTGGACTTCCAAGCTGTAAAACAACCCAGTTGTAGATGGAATTTGGTCCAGGACTTAAGAACAATAAATGACATAGTTGAGCCTCTACATCTTGTGGTTCCTAACTTTTATACTATAATAGACAAAGTGCTAGTCAATAAGCCTTTTATTTTAAGAACTACCTTCCCTCCCTAACTTGATTAGTGCCACTGTTAGAACCTCTACTTGGAATATTATTGCTTTTAATTTTTAACTCATGTACTTTTAACTTGTTAGTTAAATTTGTGTCTTCTAGGCTGCAACAGTTCCATGATGCATCTTCAAGGATATGAACATATATGGCTAAGCAAAACTGATAACAGTGCATCTAAATTCCAAAATCAATCTCCACAGTAGTCTACATGTTTCCTATTGCCAAAGGGGCCCTTTAGAGCAGTGAGAGAAGATCTTCACCCTGAAACCTACAGAGTCCCTTTTCAGCAGGAAGTAGCTAAGAGAATACACTGTCCCCTTTTCCTTACGAAGCAGGGTGAAATCTCTCTCAGGGAGGAGTGATAGGAAAGGGCAAAGGACACACTACAAAGGAGATTAATCAGAACTGGTTTTGACAAGCAATGTGGCAATGGGACAATTAAAACAAACTTTCAAGGAATATTCAACCTGAATCCTTCTGATCATATGGAGATTTTAAAAATTATTCCTTTGAGTTTATTATGTTTGTTGTTTGTTTGTTTGTTTGTTTGTTTGTTTGTGTATAAACGATGCTTATCTAGATGATAACATAGTTATGATAAAAAGAGGGTAAATATGGGAAGCCAATACTAAATATTTGCAATAAACTGAATGCTATTGTTTAAAAAAAGAATATAATAATCCAGGACTTAAAGACCTATAATAACCTCTTGAATCACACTAGTGATTCTGTGATATTTTCATAATATACTTCTTACTATATGAATATATTATATTCCTTTTTAAAAAAATAGCATTCAGTTTATTGCAAATATTTAGTATTGGCTTCCCATATTCAAGACACCAACTATTTTCTCCATTATACTGGAAAATTACTACAAGTGGGGATGCTGGTAGCCTTTACACTTCCTGTTATGCTGCACCAAAATGCCAGTATTCAAACTGTTCACATTTTCCCACTTATCCTGTGATCCCATTTATTCCTTTCTCAGAAAGAGTCCTATAACCCTTTCACGAATCTGCTTTGTCTTGACACCATAGATAATGGGATTGACCATGGGTGGGAAAAGCAGATAAAAAGTGGCAAGAAGAATGTGGACATATGGTTCAGACTGTCGAGCCACACGATGCATGACTGAGGAGATGACAACAGGTGTGTAGAAAGACAGAATGGCACCTACATGTGACACACATGTCCCAAACGCCTTGTAGCGGGCCTCCTGAGAAGCAAGCTGTAGGACTGCCCGAAGGATAAAAATATATGATAAGATAACAAAGAGCAGATCCAGCACCACAATAACCACAGCCACAGCGATGCCATAGACATTGTTAAAGCGTGTGTTTCCGCAGGCCAGCCTTACCACAGCCATATGCTCACAGTAGCAATGGAGAATCACTCGGCCTCGGCAATAATGGAAGCGTCTCAGCAGAAAGGGAAGTGGAATCGTAAACGTCACAGCTCGGATCACAGCAGCCATGCCAATTCTGATGATCAGAGATCCAGTCAACACTGTGTTGTAGTGCAGTGGCTTACAAATGGCCACATAGCGATCAAAGGCCATAGCCAATAGCACTGCCGATTCCATGATGGAGAAGGTATGGAGAAAGAACATCTGAGTCAGACAGGCGTAGAAAGTGATCTCCTTATCTTTGAACCAGAATATGGCAAGCATTTTGGGGAGTGTTGATGTGGAGAGGACCAGGTCAATGCCTGCCAGCATGGCCAAGAAGATATACATGGGTTCATGGAGGGCTGAATCAAAGAAAATAATGAGGAGCAGGGTGCAGTTGCCCAATACGGCCAGTGTATATGCTGAGCAGAAGGGGATGGAGATCCAGCCATGTAGGTGCTCAAGGCCTGGGATTCCCATCAACAAGAAAGCACTTGGATGGCTTGAGGTCAGATTGTAGGATGACATAGTTATTGAAAATTCTCTTCTCCTTTGTCTACTACAACAGGACTCCTTCCAGACAATACCCAAAGTCAGTAAAAGCACAGACACAGAAATTCAAAATAAGTTCAAACTTTGATCTTCACCATAACTGTGCTAGCCATTTGTTATTTCTAGATCTTAAAAGAAATTGGAAAATAAGGCTAATGTACATGGGCAAACATAACTCCTATTTCCTACACACGTGATCATTATAAAGTTTGGGTGATTAGGATATTAAGTAAAGCTGGAACTAGAATTATCTTTATGAGGGAGCTCTGGTGGCTTAGTGGCAAGAAGCTGCACTGCAATACTGAAGGCAAGCAGTTCAAATCCACCAGATCTTCTGCTGAAGAAGGAGGGGCAACTTCTTCCTGTGCAGTCGGATCCAATTCAATAGTACACAAAAAGGAAATAAATAAAATATTTTCATTTACAAAATTAGTCTTCGTGAAAGGACAGATTAGAAAGAGAGCCCTCTGTTTTGTTTTCTTCATGTTGCCAACGGTAGTTTTATAAAAGATGTCGATTTTGGTTTAGGTAAAACTGAAAGAATAAATCCAAAAAATATCCATGATTTTCCATCGTCTCTAAATTCATACTGTACTCCTAATTTTGAAAGAAAGAAGTTAGTCCTGAAATATAAAGCTGTAAAAATAAATAAGGCTATTACCTTCTGAGTTCTATACACTTTCTCTTACACAGATTTCTAAGTTTGTATTGGATACATAGAAGCCTCTCCAGAAAATTTGAGATTAGGATCTTCTTTGATGTATTCCTTCACCTAACTTTAGTTTAACTACATGATTACCCTTTAACCTACCTTCTTCCCAGTAATTTGCAAGTCTATAGATGTTCCCCCTAGATCTTCTCTGTAAAGCTAATCCCTGATTATTATTTTTCAGTAGAGCAAAACCCAAAACCAGTTCAATATGACTATAATCAACTGATTTTTTTTAACCACACAACAAAGGATGTCCAAGGAGAAAGGGGAGATTTTTCAAATTGTGCTAGAACAAATGGACATGCACATGCTTATAAATAATCATTGCATTTAGACAGAGAACTTTAACTTCCAGATAAATTAACCAAAATGGGCCTGACTTCTAGCTGCAAGCTTGCCTCATAGTGGGGACTTGTGGGGGATGTGCTCAGAGTTTACTCTCCACTGGCCTATTGGTGAGGAGATGGAAGGTGTACATTACATGCAGTCTTTGCACCCTGTGCATAGAGACCTGGAGTGGGGATGCAAGGGGTTCAAGATAGAATTGCCAATAAATTTCTATTACACAGAAAGCCTAAAATTTCTTTAACTGCAAGAGAACCCTTCCAGACTTGTTAGGCTGGGTCACAAAAGTCTTGGAACAATGATTACAAATTTTGGAAACATTTACAGGTCCTCATTTTATAAAATAGAGAACTTTTTAAAACTATTTTTTTCTTTCCTAAACATGCAAAACTTTCCCTCACTATCAAATGCAGAGATCTTGGAATATGTGGACCTTTTGATGGGATAGAATCAGAAGAGTCAGCAAATTGTCAGTGCTACCATTCCTCTGATATCCATAAGTCCTTTCCATAGTCAGAGATTTCCTAAATGCAGTTATTGAAGGCGTTCTCCAAGGGATACGGCCTAGTGGCAAGAAGCTGCACTGCAATCTTGAAGACATGCAGTTCAAGGACACCAGCTGCTCCACAGGAGAAAGATGGGAAATCTCCTGTGCAATTAACCACCTCTGAAAACACACCGGAGCATCAGGTTTGGGTCTGTTCCGACTCCATGATACACAACAACAAAAACAACAAATGGAAACACAACCAGGTTGATCCTTAGAGGCATGAACAGTGAAGCTTCATCCCGCATACTTTGTCAGATGGGACCAGTTATTGGAAAAGACATCATAAAAGGTGAAGGTCAGTGAAAGAGAGGAAGACTCATAACAAGATAGATTAACACAGTGTCTGTAACAATGGGCTCTATCGAGTACACTGGAGATCCTGAAGATGGCACAGGATCGCTAAGGCAAGGTTCCCATTTCTTATTCAAAGGATCACTATGAGATATAGTTAACTTGATGGCACAGAACAATAACAGCCCAGATAGAAAATGGATGTGGCTAAAAGTAGTTGAACCAAATTTTGAAGATAATTTCAAGAAAATTTTGCCTAAAAAGTTAATTTGAACTCTGTACTGTAACAACTGTCACCAAGTGTATATTTTCAGACTACTGATCCTTCTTCCTAATTCCCAACTTTCCCATTCCAATCACGCACTAATATTAATGCATCTTGGTTACATGTTCAATCTATTTCTGTCTACAACAGTTGACAGAAGTCTTCTATTTCCTCCTCTTTGGCTCTGGTTATTAATGCATAAAATTAAATGATAGTGATATTTACAAGTCTTCCTTGTATGCATATGGATATTATCCTATCACTCACAATATTGTATTTCAAGATGAATCTAGAATTGACCTTTTTAACTATGAAAGCAACCTCGTTTGTTTTTTCCTCACCATTTCATCTCCAGCATAGTAGATCATATGATTGTCTGATTCAAAATGTCCCATGCCAATTCATCTAATTTCACTAATAGCTAATATGTCAAAATATTTATGTGTTACATTTCTGCCTTAATAATATCTCGTTTTTCTACATTCATGCTTCTCAAATTTCTGAATAATCAATTATTTATTCATTGCAAGTACCCTTTATAAGAAACATAAATGCAGGCTATACATGCAGATTTCACGTAAAGGGAGGCACAGGAATCAGATTTATTACATCTGCGGAAGGAATCATTGGAGAAGTTCGATACACGGTGAAAACTAGACCAGGTACTGATTGTGGAGCTGATTATAACTGCTTATATGCAAGTCCAAACTAAAATTAAAGAATGTTATATAATATCCACAGAAAACAAAATTTGATCTTGAGTCTATCCCTCCCTGAATTTAATGACTATCTCAGGAATAGGTTTGAAGCCTTGAACACCAATGAATGAAGACCAGATGAGCTATGGGAAGATATCAACAATAACATTCATGAAGAACTCAAAACGTCATTACAAAGAAGGAAGAAGAAAAGAACAAAATGGATATCAGAAGAAACCCTGAATATTACACTAGAGCACCAAGAAACCAAAGTAAGAGGAAGAAATCTAAAAGTTAGGGAACTGATTAGAAGATTCCAAAGGCCAACTTGGGAAGACAAGGCAAAGTATTAAACTGATATGTGCAAGGAGCTGGAGTTGGAAAATCAAAAGGGCCAAACTTACTCAGCATTTATTAAGGTGAAAAAACTAAAGAACAAATTCAAGCCATGACTTGCAATGCTTAAGGATGCTATGGGCAGAATATTTAATGATTCAGGAAGTATGAAAAGAAGATGGAAGGAGTATAAAGAGTCACTGTACCAAAAAGATTTGACTGACACAGAAGAATTTTAAGAAATAATATATAATCAGGACGCAATAGTGATGAGGGAGGAAGTTCAGGCTGCTCTGAAGTACTTTGCAAAAAATAAAGCCCTCGGAATTGATGGGATACCAACTGATATATTTCAACAAACACATGCTGGCCTGGGTGTGCTCACCAAGTTGTGCCAAGAAATCTGGAGGACAACTAGTTGACCAAGTGACTGGAAGAGATCCATATTTATTCCCATTCAAAAAAACAAAGAAACAAACAAAAAAAGATGGCCCAACAGAATGTGGAAATTATTGAACAATATCAGTAATATCACACACCAGCAAAATCCTGCTGAAGAGTATCCAGAAACAATTGAACAGTACATTGACAGAGAACTACCAGAAATACAAGCTGGGTTTAAAAGAGGCCATGGCACTACAAACATTATTGCTGATGTCAGATGGATCTTGACAGTCAAGTCAAAGGCATGACTATGCAAAGGCATTTGTTGTGTGGATCAAAACAAATTGTGGCTAACCGTGTGGGAATGGGAATCACAGAACACTTTTTTGCGCTTTTGTGAAACCTAGACTTGGACCAGAAAGCAGCAGTCAGAACAGAGCAGGGAAACACTGTATGGCTCAAAATCAGGAAAAGAGTGTGTCAGGGATACATCCTGTCTCCATACCTTTTCAATCTGTATGCAGAACAGATCATTCAGTAAGCAGAGCTTTATGAGAAAGAATGTGTATCAGAATTGGAAGAAGAATCATCAATAACCTCTAATATGCAGATGACAAAATCTTGTTTGCTGAAGCTGAAGAAGACCTGAAATGCTTGCTGCCGAAGATCAAAGACTGTCTTCTTCAATATGGATTGAAGCTCAACATCAAGAAGACAAAGACTGTCACCACTGGGTCAACAGGCAGCACCATGGTAGATGGAGAAGAGACTGAAGTTGTTAACAATTACAGCTTGTTTGGCTTCACAATCGACACTTTTAACACCAGGAGTCAGGCAATCAAAAGATGAATTACATTGGGAAAATCTACTATTAGGGACCTCTCCAGAGTGCTGAAAAGCCACAATGTCAGTCTAGAGACTAAGGTACGCCTAATCCAGGCCATGGTCTTCACAATTATTTGGTATGCTTCAGAGAGCTCACAAGGACAAAAAATAACAAGAAGAATAGATGCCTTCAAGTTGTGGTGTTGGAGAAGAGTCTTGAACATGCCATGGACTGCCAAGAAAACAAATAGATCTGTCTTGGAAACCAAGTCTCTCCTTGTAAGCTAGAGTTTTCAAGATCCATCTCACATACTTTGTGCACGTGGTCAGGAGTAACCAGTCCCTGGAGAAGGACACCATGCTTGGAAGGATGGAGGGACAGCACAGGAGAAGAAGAACCTCGATGAGATGGATTGATACAGTAACTGGGCAATGCGGGTTGGTGTGTCAGAATTAGTGAGACTGGCTCATGAAAGGGCAAAGTTCAGAGCTGCTGTACATAAGTTTGCTATGAATCACAGGCGACTCAATGGCACATAATAACAACAACAATAAGAACTCTAGGTAGTA